AAGTGTGACATGATGGAGAGGGTTGATGGCAAGTCCCGTCCACTGTAGTGTATAGGTACAAATCCGTCGCGTCGTGAGCTCAGACGATGGACAGGCAGAAACCTCATGCAGCAGATGAGATGAGCAAATGATGCGAGCGAACGCATTGCGTCGCTGGGAATGCTTTCAGGGAGCTGGAGCTGGATCGAATATGGGCACAGCTCATTAGTTCGACCGATGATATCCGACTGAGTCGAATGCTTACCTATTGGAAAAGTTTTGTCACTGATGAGAGTCCATTGGGCGCGACCTATGGAGCTGTGGGAAATGAATGGTGAACCATGTTACCCCTCAGACCAAGTTCGGATTGACATTTGGTCCTCAGCTCAGGACCTATGGGAGATAGACCGCAGCGAGCACGGCTCCTAGGCTTGAGAGATTGGGTGGGCTAGAGATGGATTCATTAGTCTCTCTTGGCTAGTGCCAACCTTGCAGCACAGCAAGTAATCTCCACTTACTGCTGGATCCCCTGATCCGATGGGGATACGATGCTTGAGGATGCCCTTCAGGGAACCGTCGCGCATGTAAACCATGATGCTAACTTGTCCCGAGGCACGAACCCTCTTTTTGCGAAGCAATGTAATAGTATAGTATGCACGCCACCCAAGAGCTCTCAGCCGCCGGGGCAACGTTCCGAATCAAAGCGCAAGCGCAGGCGCCAAAATACTAATTTGTGGCACGTCAATCAAAATGGATAAACGTTGCCAGTACTCACCCAAACTCTAGCCAGCTGATGCTGAACCTACATGACACGCAGGTGAATGTCTGGTCTTTTACGTTTACCCGTGACAGATTGCCTCACCCTTGAATGATCCCCGGGAATACGCTTGTCTGGAAGCGGAAGACCACAGGTTGGCCATGGATTGATCGACTCCCGCGAGTAGCTTGGCTCCATGATATTCTTAGTGCCTCGAGTTGAGAAATTGCGGCATGACAATGCGAGCGGGATTAGAAGCGGACCCTCTTAAGCTTGACGTAAGTAAACATACGCGCGCGGACCGGTGTTATTGAAGATCATAGACCGAACTTGTTCAACGGAAGGAGCGCGACTCGTCAACAGACCTCTGTAACGTTCCCAGCGTTCTCGAACTCCAAGACAGAAAAAAGCGGCGTTACGCCACCAATTCGCGATTGGTGGCGATATGAGTGAGCGCCATCCAAGAACGCAACCCAGCATACCACGGGTTCAAAACTTCACAAATGCGAAAAAACTCAGGCCATCGGGTAAAATCTGTGCGAGTTTTGATCAGTTTCACATATCATTGCTAAATGGGAAGTTAATGCGTACGGACTCTCAATGCATGCACAGTGCAGGAAACGAGCTGAATCAATCATAAACGTCTCAATACACAACCCATCAGCACACACTCGGTACACCAACTGGAGCTGCTTACATGCCACTACTGAATTCTCAATTCCCGTCTCTTATCCCCGTCGGTGATTCAAGAAGGACGCCCGAATAACTCGGGCTGAGCATTAATAACCCATTGAGAACGATTTGATCTGCATGCCGGAACGCTAGAGCGCGCAAGGTGAGCATGCATACCAATGAATGAACGTGAATATCAAATAAGAATGCCGGCTTTGGATGATACGCTGGAGGATCCTTGGATTCAAGGGTATCCCCGGGGCAATCGACCTGGTGGATCACTGGCTGGATTGCAGGGGCATTCACACGGCCTCGGATAGGAGTACCACGCATGGCCGTCCTACTACTACTAGTCCGATGGAGAGCAGCGTTTTGCACCGTGATCGCCTGGGCCCCATGATCACGCAAACCCATGAAAAGGTGAGTGAAATTGACAATGAAACTCCCAGATACACACGAAGGAGGGGAATACCCCGATCTTCAGGAGCACTCCGCTCCACAATTCACTTTCGCCGACCGCGAATAATGCACAGCGAGCGAGCGGAACCGTCCCACTCGAAGATTACGAGAAGACGAATATGAGAAGGTGGATCACAAGTCGACGCGCAAAGCTTATGACCAATATCTCACGTTTTGTCTTTCATTGTGAGTGGTTGAAAATGACTCTGAAATGAGATTATCACAAGGAGATCGCCGGACGATATGAATAAAACGTGCATCGATGGTCTTCTAACACACGACGAGCGTTCAGTATGGAGCTTCATTATACATCGATGGTTTATTATTGGTAATCCATCTAGGACCGCGAGGATCCATCGTGTCGAGAACAAAGATAATGCGCGGAGGTTCGAAGATGAGATTATCGGTGTGAGATCAGGTCTCAGGAATTGCACATCCGTGAGGAATGTGCGTGTTGAGTTGACAAAGGCGATCTGATTACCAACGTAGGTAATTGTGATTGTAAATTGTCAGGACATCGATTACTATTAAGATAATCGCCGTCATCTAATGATAACTGCGCACAATGGGGGCTTACAAGACTTTAGCGAGACTGGATAACCTCGGGGGTTGAAAAGCAATCGATCAACCCGACGGTCATGCATTGGTTCAACTGCCGGCAGCTTGAGGCACAGATCGATAGCAGTCTGGATATCGACGCGTTTCATCACTGATCAAGGAGGACCTCGATGTAATCACACTGGCCAAGTGAATCCGAGAAGGACGCTGAATTCCATAAGAGATGGGCCATCGATTTCGCATGTTCCCGCGAGCCACGAGACGAAGACGGCGACTAGATGTGGTAATTGATGACCGGGAGACTTTGTTTTGAATTGTACTTCAGGGGCTTCGTACTCCATTCGGAGAGAGGGGGAGTTAGCCACGCCCATCTAGAAATCGGGAAAGAGGTAAGCGGTTAAGATGGGGAAAACAAAGAAGGGGGTGTGGAGCATATTAACGCAGAGGTTCGAGATGAGCCGAGAGGGAAAAGGGGTGTTCTGGAACGTCCCTTTGGGTCTCCGTCGGCCTTCAAGAACCACTCGGAGCGAAGGTCCCAGGTCAATCCAATGAGTGTGGGTGTAGCCATTGGCAGCTGATCAGCCTTCCTGCCGAAGGCCAGGGAGATAAGATAACGACAAAATCGATTGCCCAATGGATGCTAATTATACGTGCTCCGACGCGATGACCAAGCCCACGATGCATGATGACTGGTTCCTGACGAAGGAAAGTGGGATGAGAAAGCCAAATGGGTGATATCAGTCAGCATCGTACGAGATTGTGCCATCGTGAATACAGGACCTTGCTGATCTTGTGACGATATCGATGGCAGGACAAAGGCCATCCTGTGTTAGGTTGGCAAGCAGGGCTGTGCAGCCATCCTGTTTGACACGATCGAATAACCGCCATCCAATGATAAGCGCTCAAACAAGGCACATGTTTAATGCGACACGGCACGGTGTGATCAAAACGAGAGAAATTCGTGACTGCAACGAGGGAATGGTGTGGCACTACGAGGGATACACGTAGTGGATGACAGGCTAATCTTTTCCATTCCCTACTGAATTATCTAGATTGGGACCATGATCCGTGAGGGCCCTCTGCCCTCCACGCACACCTTTGGGAACTTTTGATACGGCTCGCTGATAGTGGATATACATGTGTGCCACGCGAGGGGGCCTACGAAAAGCGCCGTGAGGGGAGAAAGGGGATATTTGTGGAGAAAGGATTGTCTATGCAAGGCCGATGCGGTGTATGCGGCCTTTGACGCCCATTTTAGACCGTTCTATGATATGAAAATAAAGCTCCGGTCAACCAAGAACCAGAAGAGCTACCAAATGCAGGCAATTTCGGGAAGTGGTTGGATGAATTGTCACAGGAATATGGCAGCTGGCTGACACGAGGGCGGCGGTATGGTGTGGCAGCTCGCCAATATGGCTCAGAACAATCTGTAGAACACGGGGGCCTACTGCGACGGGGGTTTGGCGTTGGGGGGAATCACTGTTATATGAACCGTTAGTAGGATACGCCGGTATGCACCTGCACCTAGGCTACCCCTTTGTGAGGATGGTCTCAGATTACCGGGAGTGTGTTATGACTTGAATTCTACCGAGAAGATCGAAACGGTGAAGCTGCTAGATTACCGATACTCGGTGATTGATTGTATACGAGAGTGAAACCAAATATATAATAGGCACAATTGATTAGGATTTGGTATCGTATCATGGGATGGGCTTGCGATGCCGTTGGAGCATGCTGGTATGGGGTTGATGCAGTCTCGTTGATGATCAGTTCTCTATGTCATTGGATCATGGCTGGTTCACGTGGAGTATGTAGACCGAGGCACCGAGAAAGTAGGATCATCGTATCGGAAAGAGCCGGATGTGAGTCAGCGTCAAGTCAGCTGCGATGCCTGCGGACCATTCGAGTCATGACGTGTGCTCCCGGGTTTGTCGGCACAGCAAGTCGTGCCAACCTCGCGTATTGCGATAATCTAATGAGTAACGGAAGACGAGGAACTCGAGGCAAGGAACGTGGAATGAGAGTATTCAGAGGGCATTGCCTGATCAAGGAGAGGCGATAAAGGACAGTAGGCCCAATCGCCGCATATCTCAGATTGTCCTAATTAGGAAGGCCTGCCAATGGCGTCTCTTGTTCACCCCATAACCGGATATGATTTCCTAATCGGGATAGGGTGGTGCACGATTACAGAGGATTACGCGGATTGGCTTGGGTTGCCGGCCTTTCCAGCTCACCTTTGTCACTTGTATATAAACATCCTCCTCTCCCTCCCATCATGTCCATATATTCTTCCCCCCTCGACTCAAAACCTATCCGATATCATCTCCCATCTGCTTAAATTCGGGTTCACACTACCGTCAACATCGCTTTTCGACCCTTGAATTTTTTAGCTCGGTGACGGCCCGCCGTGCTTCTTTTTTCAACTAACCCGCCTTCCCTGCCCGCGAACTCAATCTGGTTATTATCCGACCCGAATAATAGTCATACATATAGCACCCTCCCAATCACCGTTTTTCATTGTGTGGACATGCCCCGCACAATAACCAGTACAACTCAATTCGATCCAACATCCACAATGGCATCCTATGACTCTGCGTCCACATCACTCAGCGTAGCTTCTCCTCCAATTGAACGACACCGTCTCAGGCGTAAACGCTCTCCTTCCCCATCATCTCAACACTTCACCGTAAATCCATTTGCTGCACATCGCCCATATTCCCCCTCAACCCGCGCGTCTGACATCGCTCGCCTCCTTGACCCAACATATGCATCACCTTCTCATCAATCAGCTTTCAAGCCACTAGGGTCCAGAACTGCTATTAGAGAGGTTTATGTTGATCATCACGGTGACCTCCACGACCCAGATTTCCGTGACTTTCCCACTTTTGGTCATGCGCACTCTAAACCGAGCTGGGAGCGGGCATATGCAGATGAGAGTGATGCAGAGGAAGATGAGCAGATCTTTCAGAGAAACGTATCAATTGAGAAGCAACGGAGACGGCCATCCACTACCACCTACTACGCCGCTCCTGCATACTACCCTTACGACGAGCCTTCGTCGTATGAGTCGAGAAACATAGCTGAAGTCGATGATGAAGACGAACAGCTAGATCACCATGAACGCGCACCTCTCAAGGAGAAGTGCTTTGCTACCCGATCAAAGTCTCCTCAGACTGAGAAGGAGACATATCCTGAGAACCCTCATATCGAGGGACCTTTGCCTCTTGCAGCTGACAGCGACTTCACGTGAGTTATATTCCACCCCGAGTCGTTTTTCGATAACTAACAGTGTCCTTACAGACCTACGTGTGGACATGCTGTTCGCCGTCAGTGGCACGCATTCACACTGAGCCTGCGCTTCAGTCTATTCCGGACTAAGCGTAGAATTCAGCGCAGGATGTCTGGCTAAACGCAACATCCCATCCCATGTCATCACAACTTCGCGCGTGCAAATGTATATGCTTACTTCCTTTTGAGCGCATGTCGCCGAGGGTCGCAGCTTTGCATACCCAAATACCCAGCGGGACACGTTGTGCAATGCACCTGTTCATGCGCACATATTATTCTCCAACTCGACGCCGCCTTCAACTTCGCTTTTAGCGGCGCCTTCTTGACAGCGCAACTCGATTCGCGCAAATCTTCAACTTCGCATTTTCCCTCAGCATTTTTCTTATTTTCGCATCGTTTTCAATCTTGCTTTCGCACGCGCAATGGACATACTATGCAACACTCATGCATTCACATTTCTATATTTTTACGGACCGGGTATCTATTCATCTATCTACGTCCCCCGGTGGGACATGCCGCAAAAGCGGCTGGGGCATATGGGGATCCGAAGAAGGACAGAATCAGAACTACGATGGAACGAGATCGAAGAAGTTGCAATTAGTGCAACGAAGAAGGAGCAGTACCATACTATACGTAGCTTGGAACGCGGTGGAGACACCAATTGAATGACAACGAAATGACCACATCTTCTTTGGAGTGACTTCAGATTGAGAAGTGGAGGGGCAGCCTAGCCCGGCATTTACCGACTTCTGACAGCACATCACCGCCTCATGCCGCCTCGTGTCTGCTCTTTCAGCGGTCCTCTGGTGTCACGCCGCACATACTGATGATGATCTTGGGAAGACTAGACCACCGCCTGAGCTCCAGCGAACTTGCGTAATGTCCTTATCTCTCTCGATTACATTGGACAGCTCTTCAAAACTGCCGTTCTCCCATGGAAAAGTATTGATGCTGCTCGTGGGACGTAAGGGAAAGCGCACACATTCCTTCCAAATTGCCGGATATGTACGCGTTTGAGGCGGTGATCCTTTTCCTACACCAAATTTGTCGATATTCGAACACCATACCGTGTCATCCGTCCTGCATACCACGGGGAATGTGAGACCCGATCCGATGTGGCGCAATGATTTCAAGATTGTGTGGCATAAGATCCTAGTCTTATCGCTCCGTCAAGTACACGCCGCTTCATGAAGCGAAGCTCTTTTTTTTTTTTTTTATGCGCTAACCCAGACACGACTTGAATGGAAGCTCTTGGAACGGTATGGTCGCCGCCGTGGCGTGGGCAATCGGTCCTTGACCCGGGTCGAACTGTACGAAAACGAACGTAAAGCAAAGAGTCTCAAGGCGCGTGGTCCTTTCGTTCCTATCACGACGCGGTCGTTCCGGCGGGATATACGTTGGTTTCGTCTCGACTACCCCACACGCGTCGTGCCTGTGGGATAATGCACCCTCGAACGTTGCGCACTCTCTCGATCCCGGCCGATGAGGCCGAATTTCCGTGATTTACATTTGGACACATTACAACTCTCATGTTATCCGAGTATCCTCCGCTCATGATGCAAGGTGCATTGTGTCATCGAACTCTGACGCCTAAAACAAACTTCTGACGGCCTCTTGAACACCCGTCAGTGCTCGACGTAACATCACCGCAGCAGCTTTGGCTACTCCGAATCATGCTGGCGTTATGCCTGACGCCATAATCCTGTACTACCTGGTGGGATATCCAATCTTCAGACGTATTTGGATGGGTAAATCCAGGGTCGAGCCCGCACGCCCTCTGCAACGCGTTCGGTCTTTTGCCCAGATCAGTTATCTGCAGCTCAAACAAACTGCTGCGCATCCTATTTTATGTGGTAAGTGATACCTCTTTTCTGTCTCCGGGTCATTCGCCAGATGGCCTGATCGGCGTCCATCAGTCCTCACTCGAAAGGCGAGTTCAGCAGCGCCTCTTGACTTCCCCGCGAGCTGTACGCACCGCATTTTTTTTTCCTTCTAGTGAGCTCAGCTTGGTTTTCTCTGTAGCGAGCGATTTCCGACTCGGAGCCCGATTAGATAAGACAGGATCCCGAGATAACTGCGTTTTTCGCTATCTATCCGAAAGACGCTGCTTCGTTCGTGCTTCATCGTCCGACCGGATTCATATGGGCATCCGCTCATCTGCTTAACCGAGCCGCGCCGCGGGGGCAATACGAGTTCTCCATCGCCTTGGTACTCGAAGCGGTAGTTCATCTAACGAGGAAGCGAAGAAGGGCCTTCTTCTTGCTATGAGCACCACACGGTTTCAGTGAGGTGTGGAGCTTCCCTGCTGAGCATCGGAATGCTGTGTTCCTGCATTGAATGTAGAGACTGGATGCGACCTAATGAACCTGCTAGAGCGGAGTGCTGATACTGAAGGGCCCCACTTTACTTCCACGACGGATTAGGCATCTATCGCATCATAGGCAATATAATTGGTTTCACGCAAGGCTTGCCCTTGCAGGTTCAACCACACGGTGTGCACCAACTCCGCCGCCATACATACGGGTTGGCTCTCCTTGTCGTAGAATGGCATTAAATGGGCGGTGTTGACATTCTTTGTTTTACTCTTCACTATATCACATCTGACATCCTATGTCTTTTCCCCTCCTTTGTTCTAGATCGTCCATGCGACCTCGGTGAGTCTATTATCCCGCGCTTCTGTCCGCAATCTCATCGATTTCCCTTTGCCCAGCGATTATCTCTTATGTGTCTTGAAGACGCTTGACAGGACTGGTCTCCTATCTGTTTTCATTTCGCTAGATCCCGAATCAGTGTGTACCTTTTGTATACGCCTACAAGCTCTTGATTTAGGCGGATCATCCTTTCCTTACGGGTCTATCAAATTCGATCACAACAAACGTTTGCATCTCCTCCTGAGATACGACTGGGGGAGAGTAGCTTCATTCAAGACAGACCAACAACGCGTGTATCTCATCGAAGACTTCATTCAGTCCCACTCATCTCATTTCGACGAATAGCCAATCTTGTGCGATCGCGGGGGCGACATCTCGAGCAAGTATTGTTGATGTTCATTTATCATGCGTGGGCAGAATGAAAACGAACCCGCGGACATCGCGATAACTTCATGGCCAAGACGCTGAACGAAGATAGACTTATGGAGCCTATCTCGTTAATTGTTTATGCATACATATGCATATGGGGGTTCCATTCTCTTGTCACGTTTCTTCCCGCGTTGCTTTCGCAATATGTGAGACTTAGATGCTTGCTAGATTGGGAATTGCCGCAGAGACGCTCGCCCTCATGCGGTTGTTTTTTGGGGAGAAGATCAGAATCGACTTCTGATTATATCAGGGTCCTTTTTATAAAAAACGTTATTGTTGGTACATTGTTTTTGGTTTCGATCTCTTGACTTTCGGACGTTCTGTGTACATATGCCATGCCATTGTCATGTCATGTCAGCCTATGGTGCACACACATCATCTTCTTGTAGTGTCCCTGCTGGCTTCAAGCCAATCATTGCAAGTTCTCATACACGCCCTTCTTTGCACCGCCATACAATGGAAGAGCCATGGATCAAGACCTGAAGGCTTCAAAGAGTCACACTTGCATGCAACCCTGGAATTATTTTACATCAGCAAACAGTTGGCCTCGCTGGAGGATTGCCATGCGCATCAAAAGGGTGCCAAGCCACAACACACCCCCAATATTGAGCGCTTGCCAGCGTTCGTTTTTTTTTCTCTTGGCCTTTCTCGACAAAGGCGTACTGATGCGCGCACACAGTAGTTCCGTAATCCCAAAACGTGGGGTTCTGCGAGCCCGAAGAAGGCCTCGCGCTGTAATCACGCTGGATGGGCATTCGACGCCTCTCGAGACCCTTTTTTATTATGGTATTATCCAAGAATCAATATCAATATTGGTTTGATCCGTTTGTGGTAAATAGACTCCGTAGGTGACGGGGCTTGGTTAGATGTACTTATGATCACTTCCTTGTGGTCGGTGCTAGCACCGCGGTGTTCAGCATCTAGGGATGACGCACCGCGGACAGGAAGACGTCACCTTCTTTTCCCTTTCACCCAAAGCATCGTATGCGTTGCTGCTTCCTGGCGAACGAAGAACAAAGGACAAAGGTCAGTAGGAACAGGGTGACAGGGCTATGCATGGATTGCGGTTTTTATGCCACGATGCCACGAATTCAATTCAATCGCGGGGTGTGGCAATGCCAGCTTGCTTCAATGCTTGTTCGTCAAGTCAGACTTCGATTCACGTGAGTGGACGATGTCTCCGGACTAACTGCGTCGATATGCTTCAGCCGAGATGACCGGTAAACGTTGTGTCTGTTACACCTCTTACATGGACGCAAATTTAAAAGCTGACTGGCACAGCGATGATATGAGGAAAACGTGATTCTGAATCCCGATGCGCTACGTGGCGTAGGGTTCAGACTAAGCAGCCCTGACCAGTGCCATAGAAGCACAGCACGACCAGCGGGTGGCGTTATCCACTAGCGTTTTTTCGGCAGTTTCCAAACGCTTCGCATTCGTTGAGGTGTGCACTGTGCACTGGAGATGCGAGACTGCCTTATGCGTACAGAGATCGGAAAACATATTGACGTAGTAACAAGCGCGATGTTTGTGTTGGATAGCTATTGTTTACCAAGGACGCTCTAAAGCGCACATGGATGTCATCTAATCGAACCTGATCGAGGACCTGTGGTGTGCAAGAAGGAATCGTGAAACGAGCGACAAAGTAAAAACACCCAGTGATGTTTTGCGAAACCACTGTTGAGGGGAAGGAGGAACACAGCAGGCCGCTTCCATGTTCTCCATGACGCTGCCAAGCTGTGGATTGACATTGTGAGTCCTGATTCGGTAAAGGAGTATTTAAAGTAACCACTAGGCACCCAGCTATCGTCATTACTTGGAACTCGCGCGAGAGGAGAATCGACGAGTGTATGACCCGTACGAACCGAGGTTGATAGACGGTATACACAGGTTGAGAAGTAATGGAAGCGATGACAGAGGATGCGATGTGGATGGTCCCGGTGTGGGTCGAGACTGATAAAATCTAAATATGAGTTGAAAATGGTGAATATAAATTTGACACTCACATTCTCGAATGGGACCATATCCAAAAAAGTGGTGA